TAAAGATTTTATTTATTTATTTGACAGAGAGATCACAAGCAGGCAGAGAGGCAGACAGAGAGAGAGGAGGAAGCAGGCTCCCCGCTGAGCAGAGAGCCCAATGTGGGGCTCGATCCCAGGACTCTGAGATCATGACCTGAGCCGAAGGCAGCGGCTTAACCCACTGAGCCACCCAGGCGCCCCAACAATATATATTTTTTAAGATTTTATTTATTTATTTAACAGAGAGACAGGGAGCACAAGTAGGCAGAGCAGCAGGCAGAGAGAGAGGGGGGAAGCAGGATCCCCGCTGAGCAGAGAGCCTGATGCGGGGCTCGATCTGGGATCACGACCCGCTCCATCTGGGATCATGACCCGAGCCAAAGGCAGAGGCTTAACCCACTGAGCCACCCAGGCGCCCCAACAACTTCTAATAATGTTTAAACTTCTAATAGTATTTTTTATCAAATACAATGGCATAATAAAAAATGGTTTCTTATGGAAACAAAATCACTTCCAGCAGCACCAGAAAAAGATGATGAGTGGGTAGAGAAAGAGAGAAATATCTAATTTAAACTTATTTTCAATACTGGCCTTGATTTGGAAATCTGATAATTGATTTGGAAATTTGATACTACAAATCACTAAGCAAGATTTTCTATACCCTCTTTCCCTTTTCTCTGTGGTGGAAATGGGGGAGGGAAGCAGAAAGGGCAGTAAATGCAACTTTTAATAGCAAATAATAATTACTAGCTATCTTAAAATGGTCCATGTACTGTGTCCTTAAAAAAATCAATACAAATCTTGAAATGACTGATCAGTGCTCAACAACTATTTCATTACATTTATTCTTAGAAACTTGACTATAAAAATAGCTTTGAGGGGTGCCTGGGTGGCTCAGTGGGTTGGGCCTCTGCCTTTGGCTCAGGTCATGATCTCAGGGTCCTGGGATCGAGCCCCGCATCAGGCTCTCTGCTCGGCGCAGAGCCTGCTTCCCCCCCCTCTCTCTGCCTGCCTCTCTGCCTACTTATGATCTCTGTCAAGTAAATAAATAAAATCTTAAAAAAAAAAAAAAATAGCTTTGAGCCACTATGAAAAAATTTACCAAGGACATCTGTTTCATTAAAAACAGCAATAGAAACAGTAACCATATTTATTTTCAAATGACAGATAAAACAAGTAACTTTCTTTCCTTACTGAATAACTAAGGCATTGGACAAACTACAGACATCAAGATCCACATCTTAAAAAAAAAAACAAAAAGAAACTGAGGCATCTGGGTGCTTCAGTCAGGCGTCCAACTCTTGATTTTGGCTCAGGTCATGATCTTAGGGTTGTGAGATCGAGCCCCTACTTCAGATTCTCTCTCTCTCCCTCTACCCCCCCAACCATCTCTCTCTCTCTCTCTCTCAAAACAAAAAGAAAAAAAAAATAAGATACATCTGTAATTTCTGAACCCTCACCTTTTTTTTTGAACCCTCATGTTTTCACTGCAAGAGGTAATATTCCTACTCTTTTTTAACCATAAAGCTATTATCAATGTTCACCTGGATTTTAAGTCCATTTTAAAAACCCATTATGTAAAAAATACATTAAAATTTTAATGACAATGCATTTCAGTATACCTGCACCAATCATGGTGATTGGAGATTCAATATATATCCATTCATCAGTGTATATTCCAGAATGAACAAAGATAAGTCCATCAAAATGAGCTTCTTGTACCCCACCAAGGGCATCTTCAATTGTATCATAATACTAGAAAAAAATAAAAGTGTCAGTACAGAACTGAAAGATTACCATTTTAAGTCTTATAAAAATACAAATCAAACATACCAACATATTTTCTCTTCCTTTATATCTTGCAGGATTACTGTAGAAATGTTCAGCAAATCCTGGCTTTACATGTGCACCTTTATACTAAAATGTCAAAAAAAAACACAAAACAACAAAAAACAAAACAAAAAAACCAGAAACAAACATTGACTACTAATGTAAACATATTCTAAATTAATACTGTATATTTTTAATTAAATATTGAAAACAATTATCAATTATTCTAATTTTCTGTTGCATAGTGCAATTTAAAATCTGAAACAGCTTATGACTTTAATATCCAGTAAGAAAGGATAAAGTTTGTTAATCTCAGCACTACTGATATTTTGGGACAGTAATTCTTTGTTGGGGGCTGTTCTGTGCATCACTGTAAGATGTTTAGCAGCATCCCTGGCCTCTACCCACTAGATACCAGTAGAATCCTCTTCTCCAGTTGTGACAACCAAAAATGTCTCCAGACATTGCCAAATGTCCCCTGTGGAGCAAAATCACCCCCAGTTGAGAACTACTCATAAAGGACCATATAAAAATTAAAACAACTACTGAACACTAATAATTTAAGAAAAGGTTCAAACAGACCCATAAAAAGTGTAACTGCTCTCAGGCTACTGATGCTTACTGCCACTGCTTAAATTATTAATAAATACATTAGTAGTGAAAGAATTGTTGAACATTTTGTTGACTGGTAAGTATTTTCACTGGCCTGAAACCTATTCTTGAGTTTAAATTAATTTTTTTTTAAAGAAACTTTTATTTATGAATATAAATCAGTATTTTCTATTTATACTTCATACCAACTGCTGGAAACTCTCTTTCCAGGGATTTGGGTGTTCATATTCTTCTGGATTAATCTGGTAGAATTTGCCAGGTTCAGGATGCATCATAGGGCGAGTATATTCAAAAACTTCCATGTATAATCGTTTCCTGTAGGAGGAAAGGAATGAAAGATTTCTTCATAAAAAGTACTTTAAACAACTAAAAAAATTATCTGATGCTTCAAAAACATTTAAGAATCTAAAAAGCCAAAATTTTAACTGTAAAATAGTTTTTTGCTAAAAACAATGTAACTACATATAATAAAAAATAGTCCATTCCCAAAATAAAGTGTCAATTCTTCAAAATTTATTTAGGGGGGAAAAAGGCCACCCATACTGTGAAAGGCTCATACACAGTTATTATTAAAAGGACAGCTTTCGATAGAATACTCTGAACTCTTCATATATATATATTTTTAAAGATTTTATTTATTTATTTGAGAGAGACAGTGAGAGCATGAGAGGGGAAAAGGTCAGAGGGAGGAGAAGCAGACTCTCCGAGGAGCTGGGAGCCTGATACATAACTCAATCCCGGGACTCCGGGATCATGACCTGAGCTGAAGGCAGCTGCTTAACCAACTGAGCCACCCAGGCCCCCAACTCTTCATGTATCTTCAGTTCATTTACATCCTATTATCAAAAACCATTAAATCTCAGAAATGTAGTCATAGGAACTATTATCACTTCCTGTACAAAACAGTGTTTCCTTCCAGTCTTGTTATCTATAGATAGTTTCATTTATTAGAGTTGTGATTATGTAACATCTAAAATGTTGTATTCTGCTCTTTTCAAAAACTTTTTTAGAACACAGCATTTTCCCATGTTACTAACAACTCTGTAAAAATTATTGTTAAATGCCTTTATTACCACCCTTCAAGTAGAAATTACATTGTTAGTACATTCCCTTATTGCTGGACATTTAGATTATTTCTAATTTCCCCCCACTAATAACCATGCTATTATAAAAAATTTGTATGTAAGGCAAAAAAATTTCCAGAAGTGGAGTAATGTGGGTCAAAGGGCATGCATATTTTAAGGTTCATGAATACAACTGTCAAGCTATTTTCCAGAAGTGATGTATCAAAATCTACTTTCACAGTAAACTATCAGATTGAATTACCTGTTTTAAATTAGACATAGTTCTGTTTCTAAAAAGCTTAAATTTAAATGAAAAACATTTCCCACCACTCAGTTGCTAGTCAACTGATAAGGTGCACAGAAAATACTTCATTTATTATTTTATAAATGCTGCTTGGATCAACCACCTACATTGTGATAAATAGGAAACTTGGAATTTATAAGCGTTCTGATTTTATTCCAACTATAACTACCAACTCGCATTTCAACTTCCCTACCATCTTTTAGCATTTGGGTTGGCAAATAATATATCTCAAGATAGTAAGAAATAAAATTTCACTTACCACAAAATTGGATCATTAGCGAGCTCACTGAAGCGTTTACACACACAAGCTGCTCTACAAAGATCCTGTTCCAGCAAGTAAGAGAAGATTTTTAGAACCACTTCATCTGGTAGTTTCTCCTGAAGATACTGTTCAGCGGGTGCTGCTATAAAGAGATTAGCAAACAGAATATAACAATCTATTTGTTGTGCTAGCAACAAGTTTCTTACTATTTAAAGAACATAATTTTCATTTTATCTAATGAATAGATTTTTTGATGACAATCATTTTATAAACATTTTGCTTTGATAAATAACACACACATTAACGTTCTTCTGTCCTAACTTAAGTATTCTTTCTTCTAGCTGTTATGTACCATTTCAGAAACTGGTTAATAAAATGTACTTTTAAGCAATAAAGTCAAAAAAGAGTGAGAGGTCAGGGTTGTCATGCTTATTCTATAATATCATCTTCTCAATTCCAAATGCACCACTAAAATATATTTAATTTTTTGGTATCCAACAAAATTAAGAAGATTTAATCCAACCCTTAGTGTTCTCAAAGGAAATACCTGACAGATCTTGTGATTTTCCGGATACTCTTGCGCGTTTTGCACGATGACCAAAGTTTTCTGTAGTTGAAGTTGAGGCACCCTTCAAAAACAAAATGAAAACTAATTAAGCAAATATTTTTACCATACATAAGCATTATTTTTTTAAAAATGGTGACATTTCCCTTTCTAACAATTCTCTCATTACTAAAAGAAAAGCAGTTACTTTTAATTTACCTCCATACTGCTCTTTGTAGGACACGCTGTTCTTTTTGGCAAAAGAGTTTTTCTACGAAGTTGGTATGGACTATTTTGTGCACCAGGACCTGATTCTTCAGCAACCATATCTGCAGGTACATCATCATCTGTTATAAACAAAAGCAACACGAAAAATGACACCCATTTAAACAAAAAACAAAAAACTCTAAGATGCAATATGCTTTTAAGAAACTTCATAAATGGGTGCCTGGGTGGCTCAGTGGGTTAAAGCCTCTGCCTTCGGCTCAGGTCATGGTCCCAGAGTCCTGGGATCGAGGCCCGCATCGGGCTCTCTGCTCAGCGGGGAGCCTGCTTCCTCCTCTCTCTCTGACTGCCTCTCTGCCTACTTGTGATCTCTCTGTCAAATAAATAAAATCTTTAAAAAAAAAAAAAAAGAAACTTCATAAATGTTTTAGGAGGAGAGGAGGTAGATACAACTTTTTTTTTTTAACCTGAGAGAGGGGGAGAGATAACAAGAGATAATGACACGGGGGGGGGGGGCAGGAGTGGCAGGCAGAGGGAGAAGCTGGCTCCCTACTCAGCAGGGAGCCCAATGTGGGGCTTGATCCCAGGACTCTGGGATCATGACCTGAGCTGAAGGTAGATGCTTAACCAACTGAATCACCCAGGTGCCCTTAGATACAACGTTTATATATAATCCCAGCCAACTGGGGTGCACCCATGGCTCAGTCGGTAAGCGGCTGCCTTCCGCTCAGGTCATGATCCCAGGGTCCTGGGATCAAGCCCTGCAGCTTTCTATTCAGCTCCCTACTCAGTGGTGAGCCTGCTTCTCCCTTTCCTTCTTCCCCTGCTTGTACTCTCTCTCTGTCAAATAAATAAAATACCAGCCAACTGGATAAACATCTCAAAGAAATGCTGGACTTCATTTCTTACTTCACAATAAATTTCAAAGTAGAACATATATATACATATATATTTATTTTTTAAAAAATTTATTTATTTATTTGAGAGTGAGTGAGTGAGCAAGGGGAGGGGCAGAGGGAGAGAGAATCCTGAAGCAGACTCCGAGTACAGAGCCCAAGACAGGGCTGGATCCTAGGACCCCAAGATTACGACCTGAGCTGAAATCAAAAGCCAGCTGCTGAAACCAAAAGTCAGCTGCTGAAATCAAAAGTTAGCCGCCCAAATGACTGAGCCACCCAGGTACCCCAGAACATATATTTAAATACAAAAAAGTCAAATCAATAAAAGAAAATGAAAATTATTTTTTATAGTGTTAAAGTGGAGAAGACGTGTAACACAAATTTTGGAAGGCATTTAAAAAAAGGTGAGGAGCATGTTCACTTGACGACAGGAATGGAAGACTTCCTACCACAATGGTTACAGTCCAAGTGGGGGTGGAAACAGTAGTCTTGCAAGAGGTGTCAGATTCAAAGCAGGGTGAGGAGAGTGTCCATAGAGAGGGACAGCTCAGTGCAGGGTATCAGACATCAAGTAGGACGAAAAGGTTATCTATGCAGACAGCGCGTAGACTCAAACTGTGGCAAAAAGTGCTGGAGCTCAAGAAGAGTAAGAGAAGTTTGTGGGGTGTGGGTAGGTGGGAGAGCGGCCTAAAATGGAGAGTCAGAGCAAGAGTAGGGAGAGAAGGACATCACAAAGAAGAAGGGATGGTGGAACTAGAAGACTGGTTGAATACAGTAGAGGGATTCGTCAAATAATTAAACAGAGTAATGGAAGCCCGCATCACTTCTGGCTTATATAACCTAAATGTAAAGATATATAACCTAAATCTAATTTGAAGAAACTTCAGACAAACTTAAATTTATTCTAATTTGTTTTATTAACCTTCAAAACTGTCAAAGTCTTGAAAGTCAAGCAGAGTCTAAGGAACTGTTCCAGGATGAAGAACACAGAAAAGGTAAAGCAACTAAATGCAAAATATGGTTCTGAACTGGATCCTTTTGCTAAAAGGTTGCTCTTCGGACAATCAGTGAAACTTGAATGGGGGTCAAAGGATTAGAAGGCAGTAATGTGTCAATGTTAATTTTCTGATTTTAACAGCTGTAGTACAGTGATTTAGGAGAGTTTAGTTTAGTTTTGTTTTGTAGAAAATACACACTAAAGCATTAGAAGGCATGCTGGGATAAGAAACTGGCCAATTCTGAAAGGCAATCTAAGGGAAAAAAACCTTCCTTGTACTGTACTTTAACTCTTCTTCTAAGTATAAATAGTAAAAAAAAAAAAAAAAAAAAAAAAAAAGCTAATAGATTTGAGTAATATAAAAAAGGTTTTAAAATTCTGCTTAGAAAATGAACACTGTAAACATAATTAAAGGAGCAACATAATAAGGAAAAAATATTTGCAATACATGTCATAGAAGACTAATTTCCTTATTATATCTGCATGCCTATAAATTGGTGTGGAAAAGATGAATAATTCAATAGAGAATTAGGCCAAGGATAAGAAAAGACAACTCAGAATCAAGTTTAAATGCTAATAAAAACTACAATGAGATTTTTTTATGTAGCAGGCTATCAAAGATCAAAAAGTATGATCACATTCTAATATCATCAAAGGATAATATGAGGGGAAAAAAGTTTCTAATTGCTTTAAGGACAGCAATTTGGAAGAGCCATTATTACTTAGTGTTTCCATTTCTGGGAATTGATTCTGTAACTATATTCACGCATGTGGGCAAAGTATTACGTACCAGGATATTTACTACAGTACTGTTTATAATATTGCAGGGTAATAATCAAAATGTTCATTAGTAACTATTAAATAAACTCAATAGGCTATTATGTGGTCTAGACAAATAGACATAATATATTTTGACAAAAAATTATATTTGTCTAGACAAATAGACAAAATATAAAGCAGTTCTATACAGACTGATAAGGAACTGCTGCTAATATATAGTAAGTATGAAAATCCAAAACATACAGCACAATGTGTTTAGTGTGTGTGTTTTGAAGCTACATAAATATGCTTATAAGTACATATATTTACTAAAATATGTAAACTCCATGATGGCAGGAAGCTAACTTGAAGAGGCTCCTACTGGCCAAAGATGGGATAATTTGAGCATCCATAAGAATAAATGAACTGAAAAAAATGTATTTAAATCCATGAGTAATGACACTTAAAAAAATTTTTAAAAAACAGGAAGTAAACATTTATTCTTCCTCTCTTATATAAATTGAACCATGAGGTAATCAAGTATTAGCTGACACAAAGTTTCTCTAGAGAAACATTTCACTAATAAAATGAAGAAATAATGGATTTAACCGCTGAAAATCAATAGCTCCTAATATCACAAAAAGAAAAACAACCAGACATAACTGATCTCCTGATGAAAGAACACAACAGCACTCACCAAGTTTTGCCAAAATACCTAATCTGAAAATGATCAAACCTGTAAGGAACTCTAAATGGTCAGACTGTTAACAGTTTCAACAAATAAACTGCATGGGAAAAACAGTGGGGAAGAAATAGGCAAATCTAAAGCATACTGCTTAAGAACATACACTCTGGTATCAAAATAATAAAGAAAAAGCAAAAAAAAAAATCATAAAACTGCTTTTTTGTAGGGGAAAGAAAAGGATTATAATTGGAACAGGCACTCAAAAGGGTATTGCAGTGGCCAGCAAAGTTCTATTCCTTGACCTGTTGGTATTAAAATACCAACTTTAGAAATAATTCAATGCCTTCATAATGATTTGATAACCTCTTTGTCTGTTTTATTAGGAATTTCTCTACCTGGCTGTATTTTACAATAACAAAGATGTTTTTTAAAAGGTGGGGTTTAAAGCAGTATAATATTAAAAAAGAGAGTTTTTTTTCCCAGTAGCAGACCTTGGGCAAATTAACATTTTTAAGCCTAACTTCTCTCATCTACTAAAGACAACAGTATCTTGTAATTCACAGGGCTGCTGAAGGGATTTAAACAGAGTAACACATGCAAAACACTCAGCAGTGTGCCTGGCTCATTTGAGTGTTCAATAAATGTTTTTGCTATTATTTCATTTAAATATTATTCTACTAACACCACTTTCAAATGAAACTTGGAAAACCAAGCAAGTTTTCTATGAACCGTACTGTACCCAATGCGATATGCCTATTTGTGGTATCATCCCTTTGTAGTTTAGTATGTGGTTAATTTCTGTTTCGTGTGTGCTTGAATGAAACATCTACGTTCTATTTTTTAAAGTTTAAACGCATCTAAAAGATCAAGTCTGTTAACTGTGTTGTTCACAAAATTTATGTGTTTACTTTTGTTGGGGATGGTGGTAGTGATGATCTGATTTATTAGCTTCTGAATAAAACGTGCAAAAATCTCTCACTATATCTGTAGGTAGTCTTTTATTTGTAGTATGTAAAATTTTGCTTTGTATACTTTATTACTTCCTCCTGGTGAATTATTTCATCATTATGCAATGGTTCTCTTTAATCCTTAATAATGCTTTGCCTTAAAAATCTATTTTTCCCTGAGGGCTGCCTGGATGGCTCAGTCAGTTGGTTAAGTGTCCAACTCTTGGTTTCAGCTCAGGTCATGATATAGTGTTGTGAGACTTAGCCCCAAGCTGGGCTCCACTTTGTGTGTGGAGCCTGCCTGAGATTCTCTATCTCCTTCTGCTCCTGCTCTCAAATAAATAAAATAAAATAAATCTATTTTTGCCTGATCGCATTTTCCTAACAGCTTTTTGTTGTGTTTTATGTCAGCCTAGTATTTTTCAATCTTGTATTTTCAACTTTTTACTTTTAGATTACATTTTAGATTTAGTTCTTAACCATTTGTTGCTAGATTTTCTTTCCTTTTTTAAAAAAAGATCTTGGGGACTCCAAGCATCTGCCTTCAGCTCAGGTCATGCTCCCAGGGTCCTAGGTCCTAGGTCCAGTGCAGGACTGAGTCCTGCACTGGACTCCTTGCTCAATGGGGAGAGCCTGCTTCTCCTTCTGCCTGCCGTTCCCCCTCTTGTGCTCTCTCTGTCAAATAATAAATAAATAAATAAATAAAATATTTTATTTTTTAAAAGATTTTATTTATTTATTTGACAGAGAGCGAGATCACAAGTAGGCAGAGAGGCAGGCAGAGAGGTAGGGGGAAGCAGGCTTCTGAAAGTTGATTTTTCTTTTTTCAAGTCTT